TTGAAAACTTGAAACGAGAGATCAAATCTCTTAAACAAAATCAAATGATTTGTGATCATAGGATTACTCAGATTGAGAAAATCAATTCTCCAGCTGAGAAATCTAATGATAAAAACAAAGGTATTTCTGAAAATAATATTGAAGAAAAACCTATTAGTTTTAATTGTAAACATGATATGTTTTTAGGAATGATGCAAATTATTACTGCTCACAAATGGTATATTAAATGTACTATTCTCATTGATAATAGTTTTTCTATTACAAACATTGCCATGATTGATAGTGGAGCAGATGTTAGCTGCATTCAAGAAGGTTTAATACCTACGAAATATTTTCAAAAAATTACTCATATGGTTAGATCTGCATCCGGACATGCTTTAGATATAAAGTATAAATTGCCTAATACGGGTATTTATCAGAATAAAGTCTGTATTCCTCATTTCTTTTTCTTGGTTAAAAACTAGTTATACCCTCCTATTATACTTGAAACACCGTTTATTAACTCTATTTATCCTTTTACTAGCATAGACTCGAAAGGTTTTACTGCTACTTATAAGGATAAAGAGATAAGTTATACTTTTATTATAGATCCAGTAACTAGAGATATTAATGCTTTAATTGATATGAAGCAAAAACATGTTGATTCTTTGCAGTTAGAATTGTTTAGTATGAATATATTTGATACTTTGAATTGTACTAAAATACAGGAAAAGATCAAAATGATTTCCGAAAATATTGCTATTGATATTTGTGCAGAACATCCCAGTGCTTTTTGGAATATAAAAAAGCATATTGTCACTCTGCCTTATGAAGATAATTTCTCTGAGGATGATATTCCTACTAAATCTCGACCTTGTCAGATGAACGCGGAATTAGTGGAATTCTGCAAAAAAGAGATTGATAACTTGTTACAAAAGGGTTTGATAAAACCCTCAAAATCTCCTTGGTCTTGCACAACTTTTTATGTTAATAACGCAGCTGAAAAGGAATGTGGTATTCCTAGATTAGTCATTAATTATAAACCATTGAATAAATATTTGAAGTGGGTTAGGTATCCTATTCCCAATAAAAGAGATTTATTGTCAAGATTATATGATGCCAATATATTTTCAAAATTTGATTTAAAATCTGGATATTGGCAGATTCAAATATTTAAAGAGCATACTTATAGAACTGCTTTTAATGTTCCATTTGGGCAATATGAATGGAATGTTATGCCTTTTGGTTTGAAGAATGCCCCTTCTGAATTCCAAAAAATTATGAATGATATTTTCAACCCCTATCTAGACTTTATCATTGTTTATATCGATGACATTTTGGTATTTTCCAAAACACTTGAAATGCATATTAAGCATTTAGATATTTTCAAAAGAATTGTTATACAAAATGGTTTGGTTATCTCTAAACAAAAAATGAGTTTATTCCAAACTAACATTTGATTCTTAGGACATTATATTTGTCAAGGAAAGATTACTCCTATTCAAAGATCGATCGATTTTGCTTCAAAATTTCCCGATGTTATTACTGATAGAACTCAGTTACAAAGATTTTTGGGAAGTTTAAATTATATATCACCTTTTTATAAAGATTTGTCGCGTGATTTAGCCCCCTTATATGATAGGCTAAAAAAGGATTATAAAAACCCTTGGACTGATAGTCATACTGCTTTGGTTAAAAATATTAAGCAACGTATTAAATCTTTACCTTGCTTGACCCTTGCTAATCATGCATGGCAAAAGATTATCGAGACAAATGCGTCTAATATTGGTTACGGAGGGATTTTGAAACAGATAAATCCCAATAATAAGCATGAATATCTGATTAGATTCTACTCTGGTAAATGGTCTGAAGCCCAGAGAAAATACGCCACTGTGGCACATGAAATGTTAACCATAGTAAAATGTGTTTTAAAATTTCAAGATGATTTATACAATCAAAAGTTTTTGATAAAAGCTGACGCACAATGTATTAAATATATGTTTAACAAAGACTTTAAACATGATGCCTCAAAAATGATATTTGCAAGATGGCAGGCTCAATTAGCCCCTTTTGATTTTGAAATACAATATTAAAAGGGAATTGATAATTCTCTGTCAGATTTCTTATCTCGTGAATATTTACAGGATGGAACCCCCCCGGGGTAGGGGAAGAGGTAGAGGTTGGGGAAGATCATCCCCACAGTCCAGAGGAAGATCATCACCTTCAGGATCGTCATACGGATCCACATCAAACTCCCCAATTATAAAAATGGGAAGAAAGAGTTTAACCAATGAGAGGATATCTCTTAGAGAAGAATCATCGATCGGACCATCCGTCCATCTGGAAGATATTCCAGAAGATAGTCCGTTATACGCATATTTGCAGGCATATTTGACTGCTAAAAAACAAAAAGATACTTCTGCTAAGCAAAGTGATACTTTTGCTTCCATTACAAAAGATGACAATGATGATATCAAGTCATATGAGAAAGTGTCTAAAAAAGAAATGATATTTCTTTTAGAAAATTCTGATATTCAGAGAAAAGAAGAGCCGTGGAAGATATTCCAAAGGTATTTGATAGATGGATTATATTATCCGGGTGAGTCATACAAAACCCACTCTTATTATGAAACAATACTCACTAGTACTGGCAGTGCAGAGTTTCAGCACTTTTCTGGTTATAGCACAGATGAGAACGTTTATAATTTCTCGAAGATTATAATTAAACAGATTATATCTGTTGAAGACTAGGGTATATCCACAATGAAAGAAAGGCAGATAAGCCTTAACAAATCTCGAATGAATTTTACCTATTGGGATTATATCCAGGCATTTGATGAAGTGTTATACTACAATAATGATCGACACAAACATACTTGGTTTATTAATGCATATGCAAAGATATTTGCAGAAGCTATTCCTAATTGGTTTCTAAATTGGTGGTCATACCACGGTCCGACAGTAAAAATTTTACCTGATCCATTTCTAATGTTATACAAAGAATGGATAAAATTTTTCCCTTTTATAAACAATTTATATCACACAGATCATATCTGTTACCTAGAAAAAATTGACCAAATTTATTTCTTTCTGGAATTCTCTATTCCCTAGATTCATAAATGGACTCCAGAAGTCGGTTTCACCGAAGAACAAGTCCCGTGCTTATACAGGACCTTTTACAACAACTTTTGGGATAAACTAATGAAAAAGGATTCCAAAATAAAGACATTATATGGTCAAGAACTCTTGGATTCCATCAAAACGAAAATCCAAGAATATTCCAGCAAACCTCAGAAAGAGGTGATTGATGACAGCTCAGTACAACATATTGCCAGAAAGATCTCCTTTCAGGAAGGAGATAAAGAAGAAATGATTAACAACTACTTGGAAGAAGTCAAAAGAAATTTACTTCGTTCCATTAATCAATATGAAAAATCAGACACTTCTATGCAGAGTGAAACCAGCAACGATGATATCGCTGAATATTCTCAACCCTTTGAATCAGAGAAAACACTACCTGATGAAGATTTGCAGAATGCGGAAGAATTTCTCCGCAAAATGAAAGAATCAGACAAAAGACCAGCATAGTAAAACAACTGGACCCCACAAACACAGTGAAGCCACCGGACCCACAGCATAGTGAAGCCGCCAGACCCCACTCAAACAGTAGATACACTGTTCATCAACAGTAGATACACTGTTCATCAACAGTAGAAATACTGTTTTGTATAGTAAAAATACTGTAACAGGGACCCACGGGACCCACTTTTTACTGTTCATAGATTCTTTTCTTTTCTATTTATACGTTTCATTCATTCATAAGAAGAGGAATGAAGCGAGACCCTCTCTCTCTAGAATTCTCTCTCTCTCTCTTCAAAGTGTAATTAAGAGTTTATAGTTTGTTGATTGTAACAAGAAGAACAAGTAGATAAAGTTTTCAGTTCTTCATCTTCAGGCCTTGCATCCCGGCCATAAGGTACTGATTTCTTTCTTAGTTAGTTTTTCTTCTAGTCTCTCCTCTCTGGCCGTGACGATGTCCGGCTAAGAGACTTCATATCTATGTTGAGTATCTAACTTCTCTCTTATATAAACCATGAAAGAGATGGCATCTATTTAAATATAAATGAACTTTATATATAGAGTTTTGACTTGGTGTTAAGATGGTTGGTACAGTCTAATATAACACTGCTCTTATTGGCTTTGCCTTAGTGGCTTCGTCTAGCCAGCCGCGAACCTCAGCCCGATAAAGGAGTTGAAAAGGGCATCTTCTTTCACGGTTAGAACTGCTAGACACACGGGCTCAATAAAAGTATGTATTATATTACGACAGACCCCTTGCTTGAGTAAAGGTTTTAACCTTCCATACAATCATTAAACTATATATAAAATTCAAGTATATTTCAATTCTTATATCCTTACTGATTGTGTGGATTACCGCCAGTCTTTAAACTCGGCCTCAGGCCTAACTGGAAAAGCATAAAATTGGCTGGGTCCTACTACTCTGAACTGCGTCCCTGGGATGGCCTCTAATTGGCTGGCCTCTACCTCTAACGGCCTGACCTCCACCTCTGATGATATGACCTCCACCTCTAGCTGCCTGACCCCTACCTCTAGCTGGCTGAGCAGGCGGTGAAGCAACCGGTGCTGGAATCATAGCACGAGAGCCCTGCTGCTGCATGCTGCCCTGATATCTGGGGCAAAATCTAGCAATGTGCCTCGGATCACCATAAGTATAATAGGACCTCGGCTGCTGTGACTGCTGACCCTGAAATTATCCCTCTCAACCTGAGTAACCACCCTGAAAACTCTGGATCGGAGGTGCACTGATAGGAGCTGGTGGTGCATTGTAGGATGCCTGGAGTGCTGAATGAAATGGCCTGGGAGGATGACCCCTACCAAAATTACCCCTGCCTCCAGACGAGGCACCACTGAACCCACCGAACTGACGAGGCCTCTTATCAGACCCCTGCCCTCTCTTCTGTGCAAGAACCATCTCGATCCTCCTAGCAACATTAGCAGCCACCTGAAAAGAAATCCCACTTCCGGTCTCCTTGGCCATCTGAAGCCTAATAGGGTGAGTAAGTCCCTCAATAAACCTCCTCACTTTCTTTCCCTCGGTAGGAAGTAAAAGGAGAGCATGACATCCTAGATCCACAAAATGGGACTCATACTGAGTAACAGTCATACTGACCTACTGTAGACTCTCAAATTGCCTGTGGTAATCCTCTCTTAATGTGATAGGGAGGAATTTCTTTAGAAATAGCCGTGAAAACTGCTCCCAGGTCAATGCAGGCGATCCAACTGGTCTGGTCAATGTATAATCTCTCCACCACCTCTTGGCAAAACCCGTCATCTGAAATACAGCAAAATTGACCCCATTGGTCTCAACCATACCCATGTTCCGCAGTACCTCATGGCAACGGTCAAGATAGTCCTGTGGGTCCTCAGAAGGTGTACTACTGAAGTAAACTGGAAAGATCTTAGTAAACTTATCCAATCTCAATAAGGCCTCAGAAGACATGGCGGGCCTATCATCAGTCTGTGCCGCAATAACTGGCTGAACTACCCCAACTGGCGGGGTTGCTGGAGCCTGATTCTGGGGAGCCATCTGCTCCGGAGCGGGAGTAGTGGGAGTTTGTGCTCCTTTCCTAGCCTGTGAGATGGCTGGTGCCACTAGAAATGTACCATTCTGGGCCACGCCCTCCATAAGACTTACCAAACGGACTAGAGCGTCCTGAAGCACTAGAGTAGCTATAAATCCTTCCGGGACCTGAACTGGTCCAACCGGCACAATATGAACGGGAACCTCCTCCTGAAGATCCACCTGAGGTTCAACAACAGGTGCTGCTGCTCGAGCTCTAGACTGAGCTCTACCTATGCCTCTGCTTCGACCTCTAGCACGCCCTCGGCCTCTGGTCATAGTTGCCACCAGGGGCTCTGGTCTCTGTCCGTTGGTAGATGTATTACGCGTTCTCGCCATCTGCGAGAGAATAAGAATAGAATGGTTCAATTATCGATGATAGAATAAGATCGCACAACATAATAAGAAAGAAGTGATATTGTTCCTAAACTTTATAGCCTCTAAAAAATAAGTACAGACGTCTCCATACCGATCCTTCAGACTCTACTAAGTTTGCTCGTGACTCATGAGACCTATGTAACCTAGTGCTCTGATACCAATTATCACGACCCAAAATTTCCACCTTCAGGATCGTGATGGCACCTAACATTTCACTTGCTAGGCAAGCCAACGCTAAAATAATCTTAACTATTTTAAAGCAAATTTAATTAAATAGAAGTCAAATTACTGAAATAAAGTGCGAAATACCATAAATACCGAATTATCAAAATACATCCTAGAATCTGGTGTCACAAGTGCACGAGCTACTAGGATAATACAAATAAAGGTATGAATAAAATTCAAGCTGTTTGAATAATCGGGCTACTTCTTCTCTTAATTGTCGGTAGTCCTCGGTCTTGTGGCCATGAGTGCCATGGTACTTACACATCAGGTTAGGGTTTCTCTGGGTAGGGTCGGACTGTAATGGCCGAGGCCACTTGGTATCCTTGATGCTCCCGATGGCAGATACGATGCTGGAAACATCGACATTGAAGTTATATTCCGATAACCTTGGTGTCTCCCTGGCCTCGAGCGGTCTATCAAAACTATTTTTGCTCATGAGTCCCTGGCTACTGTAGCCTCAATCGCTCCTCTTCTCATTTCTTGTAGGGTTACGCCCAAATCCGTTACTCCTTCGATCTCCGCTATACGGTTGATATCGGTCTCTGTTCGGTCTTGATTTATGATCGACGACTCTATTAGACATGTCATTAATTCTGATGGGATAAACGAACCCGGAGGGGGCCCTGAGCTGATCATCCTCGACTCTGATTTTTGACTGGTACCAGTTATGGACGTCAGCCTAAGTCACCGCCTGGTACTCTATCAAATTTTGTTTTAGCTGCTGCGAAGCCAAGGAGCTTCAGGGGTTAAGTCCTTTCTGTGAATTCCTGAACGGCCCAATCATCCACAACTGAAGGCAAGTCCATCCGTTCCATTTGAAACCTCGATACGAACTCCCTGATCATGTCGTTGTTTCTTTGTTTTACCTTGAAAAGATCTGATTTTCTGGTCTTGACCTTGACGGCCCTGGCATGCTCTTTCACAAAGGCATCTTCAAGCATAGAAAATGAATCAATATAATTTGGGGGTAAGTTTTGATACCATATCATTGCTCCTTTTGATATGGTTTCTCTGAACTTTTTCAGCAAAATAGACTCGATTTCGTCATCTTCTAAGTCGTTTCCCTTGATGGCACACATGTAGGAGGTCACGTACTCATTTGGATTCTCGGTTCCATTATACTTAGGAATATCGGGCATACGAAACTTCTTCGGGATTGGCTTCGGTGCCGCGCTCGGAGGGAAAGGCTTTTGGACAAATTTCTTGGAGTCTAGTCCTTTCAATATCGGGGCGCTCCTGGGATTTGATCGACTCTGGAGTTATAGGTCTCCACTTTTTTGTCGTTTGCCTCTATTTTTCTCTCCACCGATTCCACCCGCTTTGTCAGTTCCTCAAGCATTTTTATTATTTTGGGGTTGGTTCCGGGGTCAGCTTCATACGACCTTTCTGTGGCTTGCTCATTTCTTTGGGTGTTTTCCCGGGATGGTTCGGGCTCAACTCTGCTGGGGCGCGGCTTTGATTATGCAGCTGTGCTATCGCCGCCTGTTGGGCCTGTAACATTTCGAAGATCACCCGCAGATTGATCCCATCGGCTTTACCTTCGGGTGTACCCCGAGTCGTTGAACAAGCTTCTCCGCAAATAGTGTTCTCAGGGTCGGTCGGCAGGTTAGCATCGGTGGCCACATGTGAGTTGGCGTCGGCTGGGTCTGCAACTGGGACTCCGTTAGGATCAGCAGGGGGCACCTCGTTGCTAGGCACTATATTGTTATTTTTGCCGTGATGATCAGATTCAATATCAACGTTCAAGTGAGCAGACTAAGAGTTTGATATTTTTAGGTTAAACTGAAATAAAAATCTCAAAGAACAAGCGTAAAATAGAGTGTGTTATGGAAATTTATATCAAATTACCATTATTATCCTTAGCCCCACAGTGTGCGCCAAACTGTTTATCCTTAAAATGGATAACAATTATATTTATACGCGGTTTTAAGGATATGTGGATTAATCTGAGACAAGTGATTAGTAATGTTAGATAAGCAAATGAAAGATAGAATAATTAGCCAAACCGGTAATAGTATTGAATCCGGGTTTCGTTGTGGGCTTAACAATTTATCTGCCTTCAATTCATAGCCAAAATATATATGAAAAGTTATGAACAAGAATAAGAACCTTTGAATAGCTTAGAAATAAGGAAAACAAGTTTATATTGCCTTGATATACGTGTTACAGTGTGTTTTACCCTAATTATAATTCTAAGAAAGGTAAAAATCTTCCTTTTTATTAATCACTGATCTGCTGCCGATACGGGCCGAGATTCACGCCGTTTGTTAATCGTGCACGAATATTTGGTAATACTTTCCGAGGTCTTGGAACTCGAACCGGATCCGGGAGGCATGGTATTGAT